CTGTCATGGCGCTGAAGTCTCTCTCCAGTTTGTGGCAATCAGAAAAGTCAAGCTATGTAATATGTATGTGTATTATTTTCTATCGTTTCATGCTACCACACATTTTCTCTCGCGCCATTTTGCGCCGTTCCCGTCCAGGGATGACAGTCTTTTGTCACAGACTGAACAACGAGTGACGTCATACAAACAGACAGGCTTTATCGTACACTTATAGGGCCTTCAAAAACACCGTCAAAGAACACCGCCAAAGAATACCCGCCGAAGAACAGCGTCAAAGAACACAAAACTAATGAAATTACAGTCGGTTTGTTGTGGGGTTGTGACAATGTTCCAAGACCCGTCCCTCAAGTTGTGATCGTTTGTCGTACATCCGATATTGTGAGTCCGCGCTTCGCCGACAAGATCGCTGCGTGCGGGACCGACCAGACCCTGAGCCTATGACAACGGCCAACAAACTGTGTGTATGTGTGGCTGTGCGTGCCGCCCGGCCAGGCCTGGTTAGAGCGGGAAAAACAAACCTCACAGGACTTGTGTGACTGTTACGTGTGTTGTATTAATAAGCCGCGCCAAGGAAAGGAGGGTAAGCCGAGGGGGGAGGCCATAAAGGTAACGGTTGGGTACACACTTGTCCGACACGTCGAATGTGCTTGATCGTAGTGGCGCAGTTAGGAATCATCAGTTAAGATACTATCATGATCGTACCGGCGCAAATAGGAATCGTAAGTTTGGATATATCATGATCGTATCGGCAAAATTAGGAATCTTTAGTTCATATACATCATGATCGTATTGGCACGAATAGGAATCGTAACTTTGGATATCATCATACTCCCCCCCCCCTTCTTTTCTTTCGTCATGACACATTTAAAAAATAACATTTTTCACGCCCCCATCGACTCAAATTAGATCCTTTTGAAGGCAGGCGTCCGACCCTGCCTGTCAGGACCAACACGGGATGAGAGAGACACAACAACCCTAGCAGAAAGGCTGAGGTATTGGATTAAAATTCTCCCCACTTGGAAATCGAACTAGGGGCTCCTGGGCGCGACAGCGTAGTGCCTAACCGCTACGCCAGTTCGTCATGACAGAGCAAAAGACATGTGATCTCAAAGTGCGGAAAAGGAGGGTTTTTATCTCTGACAAAACACTTCTTTTTTTTCAAACAGGAAACCCCCTCAACTTCTCAAACTCACGGACGTCATTGGGTAATTGGCAGGTGCTCTGGTGTGGTTTGCTCCTTCTTTCTGATCAAACATCTATCGACCTTACACCCTATTTCCTTCTTTTTTGTGTGTTTTGCTCTCATGTAACACCTCTAATTTTCGGCTCTTATATTACCGTATTGTGTTGCAAGTGCCGTGAAAATCTTACTAAATAGAAATCAGTACTAGCTTTTCTACTGAGAACAAACCATCGCTAACTTTTCCTGAGAGAAATCTGATCCAACAATTGCATAAATCAAACCGCACCGATCAATGGGCAATGTTTAAACATTGTGCTATAAAATGAGGACCCCCCCCCCCAACCCCAAATCTAAAGAAATACAAGAAGAAAAAACACAAACCCCCCCCAACAACAAACAAAACAAAACAACAAACAACAAACAAACCAACAGCACCCAAACTGCCATGTATATAAAAAGCCAAAACACTTACATCGCAGATCCTCCAAATAAATATATTATGTTATTATGTATTGAGAATAAGAAAATAATTATGTCTGCAAGTTGTGTTGAAGCATATTTCATCAGTCATTTAAAATATAATATTATATATGTGTTGATATATGTATGGCATATGTATGTATTGGTTTGTGCACAGTATATTCCAGTTGTCCCATCAGTATTCGTTTTGGAAGTTGTGATTCTTCATTACGCATCCTTAAAAACACCATACCTGCTCAGACGGAAGAAGAGGAGCAAGAGAAGGGTGAAGAGGAGGAGGAGAAGAAAGAAGAAAAGATGAGAAAGTTGGGAGGAGGAGGAGAATTGGAGGAGGAAGAAGAGGGGGAGTGAAAAGCTGAAAGATGAGTTGGCTCTCACACAGTGATCAGCCGGTTTCGCTCTGTAAAATGGGACAAATGTGGATGTGAGTTGACAACGCCCCACTCCGGGTGGGGCAGAAGGCGGAGAGAAGCGCTGGGTGGTGTTGTGCCGTCTTGTTTTAACGGACACTGCACCGGTCTACCCGGGGTGGCTTCTCGTCCGGTCATTAACGGACACTGCACGACATGGCTACTCGGGGTGGCTTCTCGTACATTTTGTTCTGTCGCATGTCACGAGGGG